ATTTAATGTGGCGCAAGCAGTAGCTCGTGGAGATGTGGAAGATGGGCAGGATGGGCAAGAAGATGCCAGCAGGACGAAATGACTTGCGCATGTGGTATAAGTGAATGTGGCGGGGCTTATGTGGCGTATGCTTAATGCACCACTCTGAGAAACAGTGAAAAATTATCTGTTTGTGGGGATGATCGAGAAAAGAAATGATGCTTTTAGTTTAATATGAATACTTGTTATTCTATTTTAATTATTTTTATTGACATACTTATAAAATGTACAGTAATACCAATCGAAATTTAGAAGAAATTTTTCAAATTTGACCGTTCATTAAAAAGTGCAAGCAGTCGCTTTGCAGCATGCATACCAGAGAGCTGCAACGAGTATGATCGAGTACGATCGATCATCGCGCGATCATTTTCGTTTAATCCGGTAAACTCACTCGGCAACGAATAATCACGAACAAACCCGAAAGCCAAAGTACGATCCGATCAACTACCCGACTCGCTTCGTAACGATCAATGATGTGATTTTGAACTTCGGGTGTAGGTGAACAAAATGATCGTTCCGAAGCGCTCAATCGTTCCCGATGATTGCGACCTCGAGTCAGTTGTACATGAATAGATTGTGAACGGATTAATATGATTTCTTGTGACGACGAAATAAAATAGATGGAGAGTGCACTTCAATGTATTACACACAAAAAAAAAACTTGGTAAAATTGACCAACAAAGATAGTTACGTAACTATTAAAATGGTTACGTGTATTTTGTTTTTGCTTTGGGTTTGTGTCTTTGCTAATTGTGTGTATTTTGTTATTGTGAAATGACTATTTACTTAGTAGAATTGACAATTTTGCTGGTTAGGTCCTGTTTGACAATTATTACAGTTGATTTTACCAAGTTTTATTTTTGTGTGTACATATATGTTTATTGAGAAATATTTATTCCATATGAAACTTTTTCCTTTCCGGTGGCCTGACAACGTGTAGCTTCCATTTGATATTAGTTCTAAAACGCTTTTAAAATCTATTACTTGTTGTCCTTTTGTGCAAATATAAAAATATGTTGTGCCAAATATAAAGCAATAACACGAACTGCATTGTCATACCGATAGGCGCGAAGCACGATCACACCAATCGATTGCACAAAATATTCGATCACAAACGGGTAAAATCTTCAAGCCGAACGTTCACACACGATCAGATCACACACTTGAACGATCACAAACGATCATTCATGGCACGATCGCATTCGCTCACCGCTCATTTCATTTCGCTCACCCGAAGCGATTAATCAAAACGGATACGAGTAAATGATCGGGTGTACCCGAAAATGATTGACTCGTTGCAGCTCTCTGATGCATACATCCATCTCTCACGCACTTCCTTTAAATCAGTAAAATATGGATTTTCCTAATTTAATTTATTACATACCTTAATTTGTGATACTTACTCATTTAATAACAAAAGAGCTTAAAAAATATTAATTAAATAATTTGAAAAAAATGTGAAAAGAATTTGGAATAATATGTAAATTAATAAAATTTTATTATATTTGTTTAATGCATCATCTAACTATTTTATTGTCTTAATGCCAAGAATTTCCTTTTTGAAGTAAAAAAAGGCCCCAAAGCAAACCAGATCTGCTAATCTTGACAAACTTTCTGAGAACTGATTTGCACTCTGTTCGAATCCCTTTTTGCATTTTCTATTACCACCCCGAGACTCACTCGACTTAAGTGCATTCTGTGTTGTACTTTGCACTAAGTCCCTAGTAACAAAACAAATTGTACTCTCCGAGTTGTTTGCTAGCCATCCACAAATGGCCCAGATTGCGTATACGCAACGTTGCACATTTCGGTGAGGAACCTGAAGACGAATCTCAGGATGCCTTACGGCCAGCTATTCCATCTACTTGTATGTACTACTGGCAAAACACAAAACTGTATTGATTTGTTGCTAATAGTTGATCTTGTTCACCATTCTTACTCTATTCCATTTGTACGATTCGTTTTTTGCGGATGGGATTTGATTTGATTTTTCAAGTACACACTCGCACAAAGCTGCCGACACACAAAAGCCACTCATCTGGGGGAATGGATGAGGAAAATGTATTTGCGGTTGGGGCGGAAAGAATTGCAAGGGAAGCACATTTTGGATGTTTATGCTGCTGCTGTTCGCTGCTGTTATTTATCCAGAGAGCTTAGCTGTTGTCGGGAATTCTGTGTGTATTTTGATTTCATTTGCAATGCGCTACTCAAAATGCATTTCCTTTTGGCATGCAATTTGCCAAATGTCAAATAGGTTTTGGGCCAATCTGAGCGACATGGCTGTCCGCACAATGGCCATGGTTGACATTTGACATAGGATTTTGGATCCTGTTTCTGTCGGTTGGCCAAAAACATAAATTTTCCCTGCTGGCCTTGTGAGGGTAATACCCACTGGGTATGATGTTAATTTGGTGTTGACATTTATGAGATGCGACCCTTTAAAAGCTGCCGACTTCAGTTCTGATTGATGAGAGTTCTTAGCACGTCCTCTCATTACCATTTGCAAAACAGGTCCTGCTGCCTCCAGTTTGAGGCCAAAAAGTCAAAAGTCAAGCGCCCATTGTTTCCCACTGGCATTTACCAGCAGTCAGATGGGCAAATGGACAGATGCACATGCATGATATCGCACATTCTGGCAATGGAGGCGAGTGTTGGGTGGGAGATAATCGGATTTCATTTGATCGACTTACCATTAGTTATGGGGGAATTAGGTTTTAAATAGATCCGTGTAACAAATATACTTAATTTAAATACAATCTAATTATTAACTTAATTAAGCTTAAGTTTGTAAAAAACCCGAATTATAAAAATGAAACATGAAAAACTAAAATGTTTAGCTTTTTATACATTTTTTAACACTAATAATATTAATGTAAATTTAAAATATTAAAAGATTAACAATTAATTACAATAAACAGTTTTATTTTTTGAAATTTGTTTAACTTTAATTTAGTTTTATTTTATTTTTATTTTTTATTTTTTTACTTTATGACAATAGTTTTAGACAAAAGGAGAGCAATTTAGTTTTTTCTTATCATTAAAAATCAATCCATTCTAAAATATGTTGTAAACATATTTTAATTACTACAACAGTATGCCATACTAAGTATGACATTATAATATAATAAATATCCGAAATGATTTAATTTTCATTAACATTATTATTTGTACTATAGCAATACTGTCTTTAAAGAAGATAAATATTCCCAATTTCAAGAAACCTCCTTTCTCACCACTATCCAAGGGTGACCAGAATGTGCGTGAGTCTACATAGGCAGACGAAAAGGTGAACCACACATCCAATGCGTTTGGCAACCTACAGTGCGTATGCGTAATATGTATGCGACTGCCGAGGGAGCCCTTGTGCCATCGTTTTGCCTGCCGTTTGTGTAATTGAGCGTGTAATTGTGTTTGCCTTTTCACATTTAGCCAGGCAGCCGAAAAAGGTCACTTTTGATGTGTGTGTCCTGTGGCGATGCTGCACTGCATGAGTAGACCGAAGGCTCAGCCAATTAAAATGTCGCTCAAAACTTTGGCCCCCAATGTCGAAAAAACTGTTAATTGAGTTTCTGGCACTGCCACTGCCACTGCCGCCAACGCGAAATGAATTATGAGCAACTTATAATGAAGACGGCTCAACTTGAGCGCAGCAGCAAGTTTGGCAACTCGACAATGTGCCAAAGTCCATAATGACTGAACGGCTGTCCTTGGCGCGTTCAAGGCCGTTTCCATCGGCATTCGGAGCCATTTAAGTGATTGACTTGGCCCAGCACGGCCCTTATTTATTTTTGAGTGTCTGGCCCCACGCTCAGTTTCCCCAGATGGCGAGGCTCGATAGGCTACGGCGTGGCATGCCACACACCTGTCGGGATATGTCGGGCTATGTCAGGATATGTTCCATGCGTGACAGTTCAAGGCGCGGCTTAGGGCGAAATATTGGCTCCTCTCATCGAATATTCATGGCGGACGCCGTTTTTAATGGATGAAAAACCGTTTAATTCCCACAAGTTATTTATTTTAATGCTTAAACCCCTTCAGCAATTTCCCTGGTATATATAGATAGATATATATTTTTTTTTCATTTTAAAAATCAAAATAAAAAGCCTGAAATTATGCCACTATGGGAGAACAGAGTTTCTGTGTGACTCCCAAATTATTTTGCGTTCGTTGACTCATGAAGACGAAAACTGCCTTTCTGAACGTGCAAACACTTGAAAGTTACCGCTCAACGTTGTCAGTTCGGAACACAAAAAAATATATAAACACTTCTTATCGATGGCTGCAAATTCAGAAACAAAACGAACAAGAGCGTGCCATTAACATTATGACATTTGGGAATAAATACATTCCGCGAGAAAGTCTAAAGCCAAGGTATTATAAAACCTTATCGCAAAAGTAATGTGTGTCTTGGAAACTAAGATGAATGTCGAATTAGTTGTATTTAAATGATTCATGTTGCGGGATTCACTTTTTTGATGGGTGTCATAAATCTAGCATTATAAATTCCACGGTAAGGATGGTATATAAAATAATTCTTCTGCAATTTCTGGGAACATAGAAGTTATTAAAAATAAACAATTAAATGGAAAACTACCCGTGTTCTTTGACCAGCACATTTCACAACAGTCTTGAACTTTGCGACCCGTCATTAAGATATCATCAAGGGAGAAAATCGTCAAGTGATTGCCTCTTGCCATCTCTATTTTGATAAAGGCGCCTCACATGGCTGCCATGTCAACGGGGCTCTCGGCTCTCCGATAAAGGCCGTGATAAGAAACCACAGAAATACAAAAAAAGCAAAAATAAAACCGTCTGCGATTGGTTAGATAAGGGTAGCTGGCTGGCAGGTTGCCCGAAAACAGCTGTGATTTAGTCATACCCGAAGCTTTGCCGTGTTCACATACCCGCGTCCCAATTCGCGAATCGAGGAAACCGAAATAATCATAAATAATAAATGCCCAGAAACGGCAAAGTGAAGTGTCCGCGAAATGTTGAGCTATTTGCCGGTAGTGTGGCTTCTGCTAGCCCTGTGCCCCCACCCATCCCTCAGTCAGATTATACCACTGCCCACCTTTTGTTTGGGCCATAGCCCACTGTGCAACTGTGCCGCCGAGGCGAATGTGGTGCGGTTCCACTGCCCCGATGAGTACGCCATGCTGCTGGAGGTCTCCGAACCGGGGGCATCTTTATACATGAGCTACTATGCCACCAGCGAGTTGCACTGGCTGCCGCGCTTTAATATGAGCGATCTGGTGAAGATCGAGTTCGATGCGTATAGCTTCTGGCCCGAATCCTTTCTGGGCGATCTCCTCAAGACCATAGGAGTGGAAAAAGTTAAAGCCATAGTCTTTCGAGATCGCACAGCGGAAACTGTAGTTACAAGGGATGTTCTCAACACAGCCGATGGATTTATAGAGTCCGGAAATCAACAGGGAAACATCACATCCTGGCATTTTGGAGCCGTTCCGGGCCTAAAGAAGTTCAAATTCTACAGCAATGTGGCAGAGCTGCAAGAGTCAATATTCCATGGTTTCGACAGTTTGAAGGATCTGCTGCTCAATGTGAATGTGACCACGCTGCCAGGCAATATGCTGTCCACCGTAAATGGAACTTTAAAAACCCTAACCATTGAAAGTCCAGGGATGGTATCCTTTGGAAATCCACTGCTCCGTGAGCTCCAGCAGCTGAGGAACCTCAGTCTCGTCCTCGTGGATCCCTTTCGTGTGCGCGATAAGCAGTTGCAACCGCATTTCTTCGGGGCCATGAACAACCTGGTGGAGGTGCGATTGGCCTCCTATACGAGCAGTGTAAATCGCAGCATGTTCAAGGGCACCAACAAGTTGCAGCTGATCAAGATGAATGGTAATGATGATCTCACGGAGCTGCCTGGGGAGATATTCCTGGATCAGGGCAATCTGTTGACCCTGGATCTCTCCTGCAATCAGATCGCTACACTTCATGACGATGTCTTCCAGGGACTAAGCAATCTAACCCTTCTGGATCTGTCCAAAAATAGACTGACTGACTTATCGAGGTGGGTAAAGAACAGAGAGGGGGGTTCCGTTGTTGTTTTCGCCACTTGCTTGCGCTGATTAATAGATGGCATGGCCCACCTAGCGATAGGGCCCAAAGTAATTAATCGACTTCCATTGAACGGAGGAGTCTTCTCCTAACAACCTTATCGCTGTGGTTGCGGCTGCTGCTGCCTTTCCTTATCGGTTTTGGCACGGGCGATAGCTCAACGAGCGTTCTGTGTGTCTCCCCTGACAGCCAAGTGGGGTTATCGGGTCCCATCATTCAGATACTAATTGCAGAATTATTATTGTAAACATTTAGGCGCCAAAAAATATGCCAAATATTGCGTGGTTCTTATCTGTTAGGGGGTTTATCAGAATTCCCATCAAAATCAGTTTGTAATTTGCATATTTCTACTTGAACCTTAAACTCTGAATGCACATAATCCAAATCATTATGACTTTCAGTCCTGAACCTCTTTATGACGCCTTATTCACAAGTTTTTTATTTCATATCTTTCCAAGAAATAATTTCTATCAAATAATTATTTTTTTTATAAATTATTCCTTGTCTAATTGCCATCTCATTCTGATAAGATGTGGTGAATAAAAAACTAATTAGATATTTTTGTGGTCGACTGATTGTAAATATTAAATATCAGCCTTAAGACTTCTTTTAATTAAAAAAAAAAATGTTACAAAAAAGTACGGTACAAATTGTAGTGTGAGTACTTAATATATTAAATGTATTTAACAAATTCTTTTCTTAGAAACATAGATAACCGCTAATAGTGCTCATTTACACATTCTTAACTGTTTTAGAAACCTCTAGGATATAATTTAATTCCCCTGATAAATGTAGAAAACATACATTATAAATGATAAATAATATAATGATATAGGTTTAGATAATAGTGAAAAATATTCCCAATTTTCCGTATTCCTATCAATTTTGTATATCGCTTTTAATCTTATTTATCTTTGTATTAAACGTATTATAAATATTTAGAAAATCAGTAAAATGTGGTAAACAAATTGTTAATTCTTTTTATAGAACCTCTGAAAATGTACAGCATTAAGAAACTAGTTCTGAGATGGTAGATCACGATAGCGCTATTTGGCCATCCTTGGTTTTTTAATTCCAATGTATCCTAATCCTAATCCTCCATCCTGCAGCACAGTCTTCGCCCCGCTCTCCTCGCTGACCGTTTTGCGTCTGAACAAGAACTCCTTGACCGCAATGTCGCCGGCTGTGTTCCAGGATGTGTCCAGTTTGAACTACATCGAGATGGTGAATACCCAGTTCTACGGGGCCACGCTCCTGATGAGCTACGAGGCGGTGGTTTGCACCAACGACGAGACCTGTCAGTACAAATCGGCGGAGTGGCAGTGCGATTATCGCTGCATCTGCTGGGTTCAGCGGGGAATTGGCAGTCTAATAGTGGATTGTCGAGGAACCAATTTGGGTGAACTACCCGACTTACCGCACACCACACTGGTGAGCACGGTGCTTAAGGTGGGCAATAATAGCCTCACATCGCTACCCATTGCCGGCGAGCATCGGGGTTATGCCAATGTGAGTGGACTCTTCCTGGCGGATAATAACCTCACCACCCTGGGATCGGGTGACCAGCTGCCCCAGAATCTGATCCACCTGGATGTGCGAAGCAATCAGATTCAGACCCTAAGCGAGGAGTTCGTGGAGTTCCTGCAGCAGGAGAATAATACAATAACCCTATCCCTATCGGGAAATCCCATCTCCTGCGATTGTGATGCTCTATCCCTTCTGTTTTTCGTACGATCGAATCCCCAGCGGGTTCAGGATATCGGCGATGTAATGTGCACCAAGCAGAAAAAGTCCCTGCAGCAGATGGAGGCCTTCGAGCTGTGTCCTTCGTATGTCCTGCTCATCAGCTGCGTGGTCGGTGGCCTGGTGATTGTCATCTGCCTGCTCACCGTCTTCTACCTGATGTTCCAGCAGGAGCTAAAGATCTGGCTGTACAACAACAACCTCTGCCTGTGGTGGGTCTCCGAGGAGGAGTTGGACAAGGACAAGACCTACGATGCCTTTATCTCGTACTCGCACAAGGACGAGGAGCTGATCAGCAAGTTGTTGCCAAAGTTGGAGAGTGGTCCGCATCCCTTTCGGATTTGCTTGCACGATCGCGATTGGCTGGTGGGCGACTGCATTCCGGAGCAGATAGTCCGCACCGTCGATGATTCCAAGAGGGTAATCATTGTGCTCTCACAGCACTTCATTGATTCGGTCTGGGCCCGCATGGAGTTTAGGATCGCCTATCAGGCGACCTTGCAGGATAAGCGCAAGAGGATAATAATCATCCTGTACCGGGAACTGGAGCACATGAATGGCATCGATAGTGAGTTAAGGGCCTACCTCAAGCTGAACACCTACCTCAAGTGGGGCGATCCGCTCTTCTGGAGCAAACTGTGCTATGCGATGCCGCACAATCGGAGGGTTCTGAAGGGCCAGAAGAAGCATGCGGGTCCCCTCATCTGAGGCTTCTGTAAAATATAGGTATTCGGAAATATACTCACTCGCTTGGGGCCTTAAAACTTAACTGGAGTTTAGTTTAAAATTCTATATTTATTCATTTAGATTGTAGTTCTTATTTTTAAATATTTATGTAAGAAACATGATATTTGCACCTAAAATTTAAGTAATTTAAATCATTTTTTTTTAACAACATTCGGATGACCTAAAGAGGTTTAATTTAATTTTTAATAAATGTACAAGTAATATTTACAGTAAGATAACACTCAGTATTTATTAATAAAAGAAAATATATTTAAAAAATAAAAAAGCACTCGCTAAACTGTTTGATAACTAGTTGCATTTCATTCGTTTTGATTTTTGAATGGAGAAATTCAATTTTGTATTGTTATTTATCAGATTTCAATCTCTTTTATTTGTGTTATTATTAAAGTGTCATGGTAATTAACACAGCCGTTAGCATCAATGTTTGCAACAATTTATCAAAGATGCAAGCGCCTAATTGCCATTAATCAATTACCTTAATTAAACTGATTATAACTGATAAAAGTTGTTCGAATGATTTTATGACACCTATTATAGTAGGCACACAATCATTTTTGTCATATCTATGACAAGCGACGCTTATAATTTGAATATACATTTTAATTAAGAAAATAAGACAATAACATGGAATTTCCACATGCTACATAGAATTTATCAGACTTTACAAAGAAATGTAAGGAATATCAAATTAATCACTTTTAAAAAAGCTCTTTATTCCCCTAAATATTTAATTTACCAGAGGGACAAACAAAGTGGACACTGTTTAAGCTCTGTCCCAAATATCCCAGCTGGCTTAGGCTTTTGATGGGCTGGTCCTTTGGTGTCCTTCCTTTTGTTTCCCTCAATGCTTTGTGCCTGGATTGTGTCATATTTCGCATAAGATTTTAATTAAATTTAAAATTTCAACACACACAATTTCCTGCTGTTTGGGTGAGGGTGAGGCAAAGTGCCATTTGGGCTTTAAATGCTGTTAAACAGCGGATGTGTACATAAGTGAAAATTAATTGCTGCTCCTTCGCATGACTAAAACTTAATTTTCGCAATGCTGAAAGTTGTTATTCTGCATTAATGTTGTTGGCAAACATCACCACATCATAAGTATTGACAAACGAGAGCAATAATATTTGCGATTTAAATGGACAAAGAGCGCTTTCCGTTCGATAAACTTGCTTAAATATTTATTCAGTCACATGCTTTCGCCTTTCCACACAGACCGCTTCAAACTCTAATTATCCACTTCAGTAATTGCGCTGGCCTTCATTGTTCAGCTGAGTCGAGGACTGGTACCCCAAACCCCGAGTATGTATCAGTCTAGGCCCAAAGTGGCGGGGGCCAGGCCAATTTTCAGCCAGAAATAAGTGAAAATATATGTAATAATAAAAAGGGCAGAGAAAAGCATTTGGCCAAGTTTCGCTCTTTACGCTGTCAGCCCTTTTTTTTCGCCACACGATTGCGTGGCCTTTCGAACACCCACCACCCCCTGACCACTCTCAATGTGGGTGGTGGGCGGTGGGTTACGATGGCCTGGGGTCTTCTGCGGAGCGTCTTTGAAGATTCATTGCCTGCCCGCTGGCCAACACTTTGTGGGCGAGGCGCCTAAAAAAGTGAGGGTCACAAGGCAAAGGGCACAAAAGGAAGGCCGGTTGGAGGGAATTCTTTAAACATTTTAGTCGCTAAACTAAAAATAATACATTTTTTTGTACCCTTGCAAGAGGCTATTGTACTTACTATTTGAGCTATGAAGTGGCTAAGAAAAACATTTTTTAAGCGTGCGATTTCCGGAGATATTTGATTGCTTATTCATTAAACCCTAATTAAATTAAAGTTTAATAAAAAAAATTCAATTAAAACGTTTAAGATTTGCATCGTATTGTTAAGAAAATATTTTGTTGCGTTAGGATAAATTTTCTTTGTGTTATTGCTACCTTAAACTAAAATGTTTTTTTTATTTAAAATTATAAATTAATATTTTTATGCGATGACATAAATTCTACATATAAAATCAGCTTTTCAACTTATTTATGTTAACATGTTGTAATATTACACCTGTGTAATTTGTTCTGTATTTTAAAGTATAAAATTCAAATTACTTTTAAAACAATTTAACAAAATATTAATTCTTCTTCAATAACTGCGAGCTTGGCTAAATGACGTTATTGCAGCCAACAAAATGGTAGAAATTCAATCTTTTAGCAATTTAACAATGTAATTCGTTTTGTGTGCGGCAACCAGTTCGATTTCAATTGTAACAATTTTTCCGTCCTTCTTTCTCAACTATCGTTGAATTATATTTCGCTTTGCTTTTGTGTCCCTTTGTAGGTTTGTAAGTAATGACATTTGATTGCTGCCCCAACACTTTGCAGCTGCCATCGAATAATCATCTGGGCTCATTTTTCATAAACTTATAGAGCTGAAGAGCTGGAGTCCGAGTGCGATAGTCAGGGTGTGAGTAGTTATCACGAACATCTGTTTGCCAGTGCTTTTCATTTATCATAACTTTTGCGAAAGAAAACTGTAATATAACCGGCTTGGAGTCGGTGGATGTTCCTGATGCCCAGGACTTTTGGCTACGTGATCCCAAGACCAATAGTTTCCTCACATCCATCCTCACTGGCTGAGGAGATTCAAACGGGGATATCCATGGCGTTGAACTACTTAGTAGCCATAAAGTAAGGATGTGTGGCTCACAAGGGGTTAACTTGGTCCATATATATATATTTATGTGTCTGTGTTAACGGGTGTGGATGCCATCAATGGATTTCTGGCCTGGCGCCACAAGCAATTCGAATCGAAAGCGGATGCAAAATGCAAAATTGTTGCTGGCTCTGAGTCAGCTTTCGCTGGCTCCATTGACGATGTCTCCAGAGCCATTTGAGCACACAAATCATTGCAAGTGCATATAGCCCATATATATTTCGTATAGTGTTTGCTTCTCTTGATACTCAACCACATTCATAAACATAATATATGGGTTTTATTACATTGGCTTTTATTGCTTTTCAATGCCGGCTTTCTTGCCCCTTTTAGTATACATTATTAACCTTACTTACTAATATAAACAGAATAAGATACTGTAAGCAAATCATATTATAAATAATATTTTAAATTAGGATTTAAAAGTTATTCTTCATTATTTTATGAATTTTTTAAATTTAAAATTCTATCTTAAATTTTTGAATCCAATTTAAACACAACAAAAATTTGTAGTTAAGATTCAAAAGTAACCGTGCAAAGTTTTAAATAATATTTCTGTATATTTAAATTTTGCTTTTTTGGTAAGCGTTTAAAATGTTCTCTGGAATATTCAACGTTTCTTGATTTGAGGTCTTTTGTTCGTTATATAATCAAGGTGTCCAATCAATCCCTTTTGAAAGGAAATGGAAATATAATTATTAATTTAAAAAACCACTCGATCGTGTACTTCACACAGTATTGTAAATAAAAAACTACTGTCTTTGGGATTATTAACATTTAATGAGGTTCTAAATGGCCTTTCTTCACGTACATTTAAACCCCTCGTATCCTTTTGGTAAATAAACGTTTCTCTGCGCTTTTTTAAAATGCAGTTAAATTCGTAAAACTTTCGGCACTTGCAGTGTGGTGTGTGGCAGCCAGCCCGTTGCGGTTGTGTCCTGCAATTAGTGAAAGTTTTATTGCATACTTTCGTGCCATGTGGCCGGGTCGGGAAATGCATTTCGATGTCCGACACAAAGAGGTCATTAACAAGTGCGGAGTTGGTCGTGGTGTGGTTTCCTTTTCCTTGGTCTTCACTGTGTCGTTCAGACATCGACTGATGCACACACATATTATTGTATATTGGCCGGAAGTCACACCATTGCCCTGCGATATAGATGGCCTGCAAAGTAAGCAGTGAGGATACATTTAAGATTGCATTTCCTCATGTGGTTTAAATCAAAACACTCACTAAATAATTTATTAGATTTTAATTTTTTCACTAATATTAAATAATAAAAAAAATACAAAGGATTATTTTCTTGAATATATTTATACCCGTTACTCGTAGAGTAAAAGGGTATATTAGATTCGTGCAAAAGTATGTAACAAGTAGAAGGAAGCGTTTCCGACCCTATAAACTATATATATTCTTGATCAGGATCACCAGCCGAGTCGATCTAGCCATGTCCGTCTGTCCGTCTGTCTGTCTGTATGAACGCTGAGATCTCAGAAACTATAAAAGCTAGAAGATTGACATTTTGCATGCAGATTCTAGGAGTTCCTACGCAGCGCAAGTTTGTTTCAAAAGGGTGCCACGCCCCCTCTAACGCCCACAATCGCTTATATACGATTTTAAAAATTTCAATATTTTGGAAAAGTAAAAATGCAGTTTTATTGTATTTATCAATACCTATCGAAATGTTACGGCGGATCAAAGTTTTTCTCCATCTCCTTCGCACTCCCTTTTGCTGAGTAACGGGTATCTGATAGTCGGGGCACCCGACTATAGCGTTCTCTCTTGTTTATGTTCTACTTTTGTGGAAAATCTATTGAATATATAATTTTGAGAAAATTTATTGAAAATATAATGTTGATAAAATGTATTGAAAATATAATTTAAAGAAAAATCTATAAATGATATTATTACTAGATTTAAAAAGAGATATTCTAATAATCAAGGGCAAACATAAAATTCTATTTAAAGAATCACAAAATATGTGGAACACCTAGGCGTATACGTAATATTTTTCTAAAATAACTAGTTTACTGATTTAAATGGTCCCCTTTTGATTTCCTATTTAATTGATTTTATGTTTCACAGCCCTTTTACTTGCTTTTGTCCTAGTCCTGCTTGGCATTCGATTTTTCGTCATTGCCTGGCGACCAGCGCACTTATCTTTGATTGCGTGCAATTTACGCTGGGCCAATTGTTCATATTTTTGGTTTCGGGCGCGTGGCTTAGTTTCTGACCTTCCCCAGTGGGCTGCTTGGCCAGAGGCGCGCGGTTGATAAATGACCAGCTCAAAGGGGGGACCGCAAGGGGGTGGAATAAAACTACACAGGGCGGTAAATCATGAATGCAGGCAACTGCTGATGCCTGCACTTCCTCATATCCTTCTCCACCCGCTGACTGCTGTCAGCTGGCATAAATCCGCACATTTTTCTGCCTCCGAATGGGGCTGCTAAACCGCTGGCTCCACTGGCTCCACTGGCTCCACTGGCTCCACTGCTCAGTGGCCGAAAATCAATCGCGCTCGGCATTAATCAAAAACCCATTTATCAGCAAGTGTGCAGGCCTTTCTCTAGGAGGTTTATTAGCTGCCTGCTGGCCACGGTCGGTGATTAGTTGAGCGTTAACCCCGGGTCGGCACAGTTCCCTAGGAGAGAAAACCCCAGGAAAATCCCAAAAAAAAAGTGCAAGCGCGGCGAGTGAGAGTGCAAATTGCAATGAATATTTCACGCGAAAAGGCGACTTGATGGGGATAAATTTCGCTGGCTTGTTGGACGAATTGGCGGCCCGTTGTGGAGCCATTAATAACGCCCAGCAGGTGACAACTGCCGGCTGCACTACACCCAGAAAAAAAAATTACCTTGATTTAAGTCCACGTTCCTTAAATTAAGGAACGATGGACTAAAAATGGCTAAATAAGGCTATTCATGGACTTAAAAGTTTTCATCCCATATACATTTTAAGTCTACATGGACTAATTTTGGACTTAAGGCCATATGGACTGTTACATGGACTTAGGTCCATTTTTAGTCCATGTAGACTTAAAATGTATATGGGATAAAAATTTTTAAGTCCATGTATAGCCTTATTTAGCCATTTTAAAGCCATTATTCCTTAAATCAAGGTCAATGGACTTAAATTAAGGAAATTTTTTTTTCTGAGTGTATCGTCAAATCCATTAGTGTTCCACTTTGTCCAACTCAAGTGGAAGAGGTGACTGCCCACCCACTTTCAATTGATGTTCCGAACAAAATGGGAATCCGGACATAATTAAAGGCCTAACCACGCCATATAGATTCCTCATAAATATTATAAGACCTGCATGTGAGGCGCTCGCCCTCTCGATGAAATGACAAAGTTTGGAGCTGCCAGTGAGCTCCAGCCGGAATTCAAAGCCAGTTCCGGGTCAAGTGGATCAGCAGCTACTTGTGCATCGTCGTCCTCGAGTGCAAATTGGATTACCCATCAAACGGCGAAAGAGGGACAAGAGCCAATGCCTGACAGGATGCTAACGCTCAGTGCGCGGGGTCTTTTGGTATGTTGGTTTTTGGATTTGTTAGAAAACACACCAATTCCCATTAACTCTCCACTTGGAGGTCATGTATCTTTATCAAAAATAATTTAGTACACTTTATCCTAACACCAACTTTCAAGAACCTTTATATATATTTTCAAAAAGTGTGCGAAAAATGTGAACTTTTTTTTTATAAAAGCCATCTACCGAATTTCCAGCGGTCTATTAAAATTACTACATTATTATTATTAAAAAAGGTTTCTATATTCTGTAATTAAATTAAAGAATAAATAGTATTAACATTACTTATTAATTCCACAGCTAAATTACATATTTAAAAAATATATAAACAATCAAGGAATTATTAAATACTTCAAAAGCCCTACATTTTCCTTCCAATTGTTATCAAACCAGTGAATTCTAAATATTGTTTAGCCAAGTCTAGTAAAATATTTTGTACAAGATATTTATTCTACATTACGAAAACTGTGAGAACCAAAAGTCAAAATCTTTCACAAAACCCACTGTGATGAAATGAGAACAATTTACACTTGCAATATGATAGAAAATTTTAATGAACGTCAATGTTGTATAGTATGGTGGATGTAGATATTTCTTTGGACTTTTTGCTTACGCTAAACGAAAATAGGAAATCGTACTGCCATAAGTCGAGCGAACTCTCTGGCTCCTGGCAGTGTGTCGACTAGTCGGCGCGCAGATGCTGCATGCGCTTGGCGCGTCCCTTCCCCAGCTTTTTGGACCTCAGCTTGGCCATGTGCGACATGACCAAGTAGCTGCCCGGCAGGATCAGCAGCAGGAGGTATAGTTTCAGGAAGAGGACCATATCGAAGGTTATGTTCCAGGGGTTGGGCATTTCCACGGTAAACCGTTTCGTCTCCTCGATATAGGGGATATTGCGTAGTACGATGATGCCCTCGCACAGGATGCCCATGGGGTAGAGCGGTATCCAGATGGTGTACCTCAGCCAGGTGAGCAGGCCCACTTCGCGGCCGAGTAGTTGGGCCAAGTAGAAGGGATATCTACGCGGGGTAAAGTTCATTAGATAACGCATTCAATCACATTCCGATAAAGACGCCACACACTCACCGCACCAACTCGACCAGAGACCAGATTATGAAAACATAGAACACTACTGGCTTGGCGTGCATGCGTGGCTCCATGTCGATCATAAGGAACAGAATAAAGTTGCGCCCGGACACCTGGAAGAAGGGCACCACGGCACCGCCCTTGGTGTAGCCAAAGATGGGGTGCATCACCTCCAGATATTGCAGCAGCTGGATAAATTTGAAGGCGTTGCCCACATTGGCGTAGGTTTTGCCGATGCTATCGGGGCCATCGCGGTAATATAGCACACCCATTACGACCATGATGTAAAGATAGCCCACGAACATGGCCAGGTTGTAGAAGATCATGTACACCTTCTTGGTTTTCTCTGCAAGGCGAAGGGGGGAGATCGGATAACTTAATGATTTATATAGGGTTTTTTTTAAACTATCTTACAATTATCTTTCGCCTCAAAATATTCTGTTAGAAATGTGTTCTTTATAAAATTAAAAATAATTGGCGGTTAAGGAAATATCTTGTCTTATGGTTTTCCAAAAAAAAAACCTTTATAGGTTTAAGAAATTAATTAAATTCATCAGAGACCTACATCTCTTTCGGATTAAATCGTTAAATCTTGTTTCTAAATCTGTGTAAATGTGTTATATTTAGTTTTCTAAAAACGTTTTCTTGGCTACATTATTTTTTTTGATTTGGGAAAATATTTAAAAAAATGTTAACGTCTCTGGGGAACAACTTTATCTAAATTGTCTTCCTAACAAACACAAAAAATGTTTAAAAACATCTTAATTTTTGTCTTCTAGAAATCTACAAATTATTTATATTGGTATAGCTTTTTATAAAAGCCTTATAGCAACACTCTTCTCAAAAGGTTATTCCCTCACAAGAACTATACTAAATTGACTGGCAAAAAGTAACTAGTAAGTCATTCTAACCCTTAATATAGCCCAGCTCGCGCTTCTGGAGCTCGGCGTACTCCTTCTCGTAGTCCTGGCGGACATCGCGGGGCTTCTCCTCCACCTCGCCGTCGTCCTCGGTGCGCCAGCGATCGAAGTCGACCTTCAGCCAGTGGGGCTTCTGTGGGGTGGCCACCAGGCGGGGCCACCACTCGGGCTCCAGTTTGCGGATCTGCAGCTCGATCTTGTTGTCGCTGACCACGAAGGTGGCGTTCTCATCGTTTATCAGGGCGTAGAAGTGCAACTCGAACTTGTAGGCATTCACTCCTCGGGCTCCGTGTCCATTGGCACTGAAGTTCACCGAAACCGGCGAAAAGTCCGCGATGGCTCCCTGGGAAAATTTTCAGTTATCACTATTGATTTTTCACAAGGGAGTAGTGACACCCACTGAAATCCAAGTCCACATACCTTGGCATCCTTGAGGTCGACTTTCAGTAACAATGTTTGCTTGGTCTGCGACCAGTAGACCAGTGGGCTGAGGTTTGCCATTGCATTTAATCTTATCAAAAAAGTATAAACATCTCCATCCGAAAATAAATACCGACCTTTGGTCAGGGGTGGGTAGTATCGATATATCGAATAAAATACCGTTAAAAATACCTCAAGTCTGGTATATTTCAGATACCACAAGCACAACAGCTGGTTGGGAACTTCGCTAGAAATGGTTTAGAATTTGGCTAGACCACAGCCGTTATAAAATTTCAAATTTATGTTTCGGAAATGGGTACTTCGATTTTAAAGGCACAATTTAAAATTGAAAAAGTCTATTTTTACTGTGAATTTTAAATAATAATTTAAGAGAAATTTTATTGCAGTACATATATAACTCGATTTCTTTAACTCTTTCAACTATGAGGAATAGTTTCGAGTTTTAAAAGTTATTATTTTAAGTATTCAAGTAAAATGCATTCTTTAGGAAAAAAGCATTCTTATTTTTTTTTGAGGACTCTCTTATTGTACATAAGTGTCTTTTGCAACCAAAGTGAATACTTTAAGAAATTATTTAAATATTTTTAAATTTGTTAATAAATAACTTTCATTAGGTTGTCCTACAAATTGCCAATTTCCATAAGAATATGTCTTAAATATCCGCGGCTGAATTTGATGAACTTTTTGTTGTCTATTCTTCTTTGGTGCGCTTTTTGGGTCATTTTGATTTATGGGCCGCCACCGCAAAAGTCGGAAGTTGTCAGACAACAGGGCTGAAAAACAAAGCAAAACAAACGAAAAAAGCCCTCGGAACCTCGGAACAGTCGAGGACCTCCGTTGGGTGTGTGGTGTGTACTTCGGGGGATTTGGAATATCCCTGTTGTATGGCCAGACATGGCAGCGTTGTCGTTGTCCTTTTGGCTTCCTTCCTTCCTTTCTTCCTTTATTTTTTTTTGGGGCGTGGGTGGCGGTTGCTAAAACAAGAGGCGACAACTTGTCAGGCTTGTTTTGCCGTCGGATTTTCTATTTACGAACAATAAACCCCAGTAACGGGAGCAACAACAGTGGAAATGGAGCATACGTGAGATAGGGCTTTAGGAATAGGATTTAGAATCTAAATAGGAACTACTATTTTCTAAATCTCTTTTGCAGCCATCGCCAGCACGATCCCATATCATTTTGCACACAGGCATAGACACAGAATCGGGCGGCGCTAAAAATGCTGCGCTTTCTCAAGAACCGTTAGACCCGGCGTCTGCCCAGGCACCGTTATTGAACCGCCCATCTATCAATCTATATGTATATGCTTAGCTGTATCTGTATCTGTATCTTCGTGTCAAGGTAAGTCTACCTGTAAGCCCTATATCTCTAGTATCTAAACATCGTTAGTGTTGCAAAGTTCTCAGGCACCTCGAAAAAGGAAGAAACTTTTTAAATTCTTTTTTAATTGTATTGTATTGATTTACGTTTTAAAATGCCCTTTCTTTTTGCATTATTAAGAATGCAATTTTGTGGTCAGCGAAAACGAACAACGACCCTTGCGATGGCACTGACCCGAAAATATCCCATGATGTTTAATTATGAATGCTTGGTTGCCTCGATATGGGAACGTCAACCTCCCCAATAAACAGATGTTTCAGTTAGTCAGTCCATCGTGGCGTATACGTGCTGCCTAATCACCGTTAATGACATCGCTATATGCTTACCCAACTGACATATAGAACTTGTATGTAACGGCCGTATATCATGATAAATAGGAATGCGGCTGCTGACATTTCCCCCTACTGCGCTCTTATCTTGTTTGTTGTCCATTGGCGCCCAAACAAAACGCAGCAAATGGTTAAGGTCAAGTTGGACGTGTGTCGAGTGAGTGAACAGGAGCCGAAGGACGTCAAGTTATGACTGAGTGTTTTGTGGGCGGCAAAGGAGTGGGAAATCGGAGTCGGAGTCGGGGTCTGGTTCCATTGAGTGCGGCATGCGTGTTCGTATATGTTCAAATTAGGGATTCGACAAGGAGACAAGTCATAAATGAAGGGAACCACAAATACACTGCTAAAGTATTATATTAATATTTCATTATTGAACTTGACGTTAGTAATTGTTATCTTAAAAATTGGTTATATTCGGGACCTTAAACACAGTTATTTGAGACTTTAATTTTAAAAAGACTACTTTAATATTTTGTTTTAAAAGTAAAAAAAAACACTCTTATTATTATTGTTCACAAAGTATATGCATGTCAACAAATGTGAAAAACAAATTAACTAGTATTTGTTCATGTCCATGAAGAGCATAAAAATCACTTACATTGTTGATTAAAATATGTAAAAATCTCAAAAGAACTCTTAAAAAAATCTAAAATAACTGTTATTTACGGTCCCTGGTTATTTTGAAATTCATTTTTTTAAATTTACTGATAATTTTAATTCTAAAAAATAATAAAAAATTAATAACTTTTTTATCTTGAACAACTTTTTTTCACTTAAAAATGTTTTCCCATATTTTAAATCAAGAAAGGATATTTTAGAAGTATTTTCCAACACTGATTTTAGGTTTATATTTTTTGTTGCCTACTTATGAGGGTAATACCAAATTATACAACTAATTTATGGACTAACCAATTCAACTACATGCCAACAAGCTTGGCCAGATCCCGGGTGATTTGGTTTCTGGGAATCTTCGGTTTGATCGGCCGCTTGGTGATAAGCACTTCGGTGGTGGCCAAAAGGGAGGCAATTCCAGCGGCATCCGCCAAGGCGGCTTGCAAAACCTTTGTGGGATCCACAATTCCGCGAGCCACGAGATCACCAAACTCCCCAGAGGCGGCATCGAATCCATAGTTTCCACTTCCTGCCAGAACTCGTCGAAGGACCTCATCGGGATTTACGCCAGCATTTCGGGCGATTGTGTAGCAGGGCAGCCGGAGGGCATCTCTCACTATTTCCCTGCCCATTTGGTGCTCCATCACCTGGGCGGGAGGCAGCCTGTCCAGCGCTGGGATGCACCTCAGATAGGCTGTGCCGCCGCCGGGCAAAACGCCATCGCTGATGGCCACTCGCACTGCGTGCAGGGCGTCATTGAAGCGATCCTTTCGCTCGCCCACCTCCAGGTCACTCGATCCGCCCACAAAGATGGTGGCCAGCTGGCCCTGCAATCGTCCTAGTCGGGTATTCAGTCGATGCAGTTCCTCCTCGGTGACTGCCTCATCGATCAACTGGCGGATGTGCCGAATGCGTGACTGCAACTGCTCCTCGTTGACCTTGATCGGTTGCAAGAGGTGCGTTTCCTTGGGGCTCACCACCGCCGACACCACTTCGCCTAGGTCCTCCTCCCTGAGATTCGTCAGCCAGGAAGCGTCCTCTAGTAGAAGGGCACCCATGGCCAAAGACAGATCCTGCATTTCCTGGCGCTGCTCCTCTCCAAACCCTGGAGCCTTCACGGCACAGACCTGAACGCGACCTTGCAGGTGATTCAGCACCAGGATCTTGAGCAAATCGCCAGCGAAATCATTGGCCATAATCAAAAGGGGTTGTTCTTTTACACGGGCCAACTCCAAGGCGGGCAGGATCTGTTCGACCTGATCCAGCTTGGCCAAGGTGAGCAGCACCAGGCAGTTGCCTAGTTCCAGATTATCCTTACCACTTTTCAGGGCAAAAAAGGGCGAACAATAACCCGAGGGCAGGGTGATGCCTTCCTCGAACTTGACCTCATCATTAGGACCATGTGATTCCTTCAGCAGGATAACTCCCTTATCGCCCAATTCCAGGATGGTGTCGCCTATCAGCTCCGCCAGTCGCTCATCTCCATTCAGGGCCACCTTGGCCACGGCCTCCACTTGACCAATTGTGTCCACCGACTGGGACATCTCACTCAGGGCTTCACAAACTGCTCGCGATGCCTCGAGAATGCCTTCCCTCAGGAGTTGTACGTTCACCTGACCCTTTCGCAGGACATGCATCCCCTGGCAGGCCATTCCGCGGGCCAGGATCGTGGCCGTGGTGGTGCCATCGCCCACATCGTTGTTGGTATTATTGGTGGCCTGCCGCAGCAGCTGGGCGCCCATATCCAGACGACGATCTTTCAGCTGAACATTGCTGGCCACCGTGAGGCCATCCTTGGTGATTCGCGGTGAAATCAGCAGCTGTTCGATGAGGACGTTCCTGCCCTTCGGGCCCAGAGTGGCGGCCACCGCGTTGGCCAGGATGTTCACGCCCTGCAGGAGCAGGCTGCGCGCCTCGACGCCGAAGCGAACGTCCTTGGCGAAGAAGCGCACGCTGGTCCACCCACCACTCCGGCCCAATATGTTCAGCATTCTGATCCGCTTCCTTGGTCCTTGCTCGGTTTATCGTTAATTTTGAGAGATTTTATTTTCGAAATTTGTATGGCTGGGTGAATTGAAAATTTTAGTAACCCTTGATCGGCAAGCTAAGGAAAGTGACACATTTTTTGAAAGCTCTGATATTTTCCGAAGTTATTGGGCTTCTTATTTAAGGGCTAGTACTCAACCCAACAACATTTTTTGACGTTATTTTCATATGAAGTTTTTTGTTTTGGACGACTTTTTGTTGGGTTGAGTACTAGCCCTAAAAGTTTTAATTTAAGGAATAAATATTTTAAATTTTACCAATTCATACTATGAATTTCAAATAGAATTTCCATTTGGGAGACACAACATTTTGTTTAACAGAACATATTTTAAAGAAATTTTTAAAAAACTTTTTAAGAAACTTAAATATATATAAAATTTATTCGGTCAACCTAAAAATATTATTTAACGCATTTAGAAAATAAAGTCCTTTAAAATTGTAAAATATGAAAATATTCAATTGTTTCCTTAAATGTTATCGAACTCAATTCAAAGAGTATTGAAAAGTCGCATGAGACCGTGTGACACTTTATTATGTTCCAACTTGTTTTCCGTTTCGTCATTTTATTTTAACAACAAATATTACATTTGCGCCATGTTTCCTGCTTGTTTTTCGGCTTTCGTTTATTAAATGTGGCGTGCACGTGTTGGTAAACTAACGCACACAGACGAAAGGCAGTCAGACACACTCACACACAGTCACAGACAGTCGACGGTCGCCACACTAACACACAGACACACTCGGCAGACAATGTGATTCCGCCATTAATATTAACGTTAAAGGAGCAACAACAAAACGCTCATCAAACATGCGGCGTTTAGTACGTAAACACACACACACACACTTACAGGAAGGACAAATGGCTGCATGTGCGTGTGTGTGTGAGTATGAGCGAGAGCGCTGTCGGCCATTTCCTTTCGTCTTTCGCCTCTTTCCGGTGCGTTGAAAGTTTCGCTTTTCGTTTTTCGTTCGCTGCTTGTTTTTCTTTTTCTTTTTTTTTGTGTCTTTCAGTTGGCGTCGAGCATTTCCTTAAGGCAAACGCGGCTTTGATTTGCCCTCCGTGCGTTTTTTTGGACTGTCCTCCTGAAAGTTCTGAAATATATTTCGAAAATGTATTTATGAAAGTGCCGAAAAGTATGCTACAATATATTTTGAGCCCGGAAGTCAGTCGTATTTGTTCAGAAAAACGTGTTTGTAATTCTCGCTGCATACTTTTAGACACCTTTTTAATTGATTTCAACATCCAGTGATTTCTGGGTAATCCCTTTCCGAATAACCGAGTGTGTTTGTGCCTTTTGAGTGACAAGTGATCCGTGATCATGGCTCTGGTGGCCCATCGGATGATGTTGCCCGCGCGGCATCGTCGCAGTACCACCCAGCAGGTGGCCCGCAACAAGGTGGGCGTTCTTTTGGTGCCCAGTGTAGCGGACTATTACGGCGGCGAGATGCAGCCTCCTTTGGCCGCACCCTCGCCCACCCCGGCCGCCTCCCAGTTGCACCTGCCGCAGGATCCAACGGAAACAGCCGCCGTCGATGGCAGCAATGCAAAAGTGAGTGCAACAAGTCGGTGCAACGGCCCCAATTCAGTTGGCTTTGCATGCGAAAGCAAAGGGAAAGGAGTTTCCTCCGGGGATTTCCACCAAAAAGCAGCTTCGCTTTCTCGCATTTCCCTTTCACTCGCTTTATGTTTTTTTGTTTTTTTCTTCGACTGGCGCCAACTTTATTTGTGCTACGATTTGTTGGCATAGTTCTTGGCCATGGTCGAGACAAGAATGCTCGGTTACTCCATCAAGTATACGACACGTGGCCAGTAAAGTAAATGCTAGTCGCAAATGCTTAAACCTGATAAATTCAAATATAGTTTATGGCAGTACAATACAACGTTTAATAATTTAATTTAATAGATTAATATTAAAATTGTATTGCAATATTTGTTTTGTCAAAAGTCAGACTTTTCGAAACAACAACTTCCATGACTGTCTAAAATATCGTGGAAATTTATTTGAAATAATTTTGTTAGAGTGCACTTAATATTTCTTCAATTCAAATGTGCATCAAAAAAACCAATAACTTTTCTTCTACTTACTAAGCTTCAAGTCACAGCTTTAATTTATGAGTCAATTAGTTTCTTATCAGCATTCAAACGAGTGTGAATAATAGAGTAGTAGAATAACCATAAAAATATATTTTTATTTTTAAAGTTAATGTTCACGATGGAAAAAAAAACAACCTGGGTGGAATAAATTAAATGACTCCAATATATATTATTATTATTTCCTCCCAGTAAACCAATTAAAGTACAATTATATCTGATTGGATTTTCGGTATTTCACTAAAAGTGTCCAAGTGCGTGACGATATTTTGTTTATCACGCCTCTTTACCTGTCCGATGGCCACAAATGGAATTTTTAATCCTTACCGGCATTGACGGGGGCCATAATTGAATAGGTTGTTTTTCCTGCGGCTTTGGGCTGGCTTTGTTTTGGTTCTCGGACGCAATGGCACCTTCCATTATTCCGATGTTACAATGCGTGACGAACTTGTCGCCGGCCACCACTGAGCAAAAGTCCATAATTTATTTAACTCAAAGGCTGCTATCGGGGGCGGCGGGACTGACACCGGTTACATTAATCAATAAGTTCAGTTCTAATGCATGTCCTTGACATGGTATAAATAGAAAGAACTTGCCCAAATTAGCAAAGCTTAATTGTAATTTAGCCTGTTGAGGGAACTACGGCAATTGGTAAACAGGTTATTTTTGATTTTAAATATTAATTGGAGGTACATTTATTTTGATAACATTCAACCTTCAGCCTAAAAACAGGAAGTTTGGTTTGTCAATTTTTGTAAACCAAAAATTGATTTATAAAAAAAACTTTAAAAGCATACATCGTTTCTATGGGAGATATAGGTAATAGCAGGGAACGTAACTGTTATAAGTTTTATTTTAAAAATCACTTTTTAACAGTTATTTTCTGATTTGTAAAGTAAAACTCAAAGAATAACTGTTATTTTTTGAGTTTTATAATAAAAGTTAACAAATAACAGTTATTCGTCATGATCAAAAATAAAACTCAAACTTGATTTATGGCGATTTTGTGGGTAAACAAAATTTTAAAAAAATATAGGTATAAAATATGCGCGGTTGCCTTTTTTAACAAATTTTTAGTAAGTGATAAAAAGCACGGGTATCATGTTTTTTTTAATTATTTCATTTTTTCAAAAATGTCAAGGGAATAACTGTTATTCATAAAAATTAAAAAATAACAGTTATTTTTTGAGTTTTATTATAAAAATCAAAAAATAAAAATCATTTCGGATTTGTAAACTACAATGGCTAATAAAAATTGTGGTGTATTTAAAAAATTTTTAGGACCCTTCTAAGTGCGTGATTTTTTTGTATGAAAAATTTACAATAACAGTTATTTTCGTTCCCTGGGTAATAGACGTCCGATTGGTTTTAAACTTGATCTGCGTGCTATTGCTTAATGATGACTGCTTTTTAAATTACTAGCTTAAAACAGACAGCCAGTCAAGTGATGCTGATCAAGAATATATATATTTAATGGGGAAAACATCACCTTTAAAGCGTTACAAACTTCTTACAAAAATTATAATACCCTCTGCAAGGATATAAAAAAGCTTCTTCACGGAGCCTATCCCAATAATACAGAGCCAAAGAAAACTCACCACAATGAAGACAAGAACCTAGAAAAGCTCTTTTCCCAATAGCTTGTAAAGCCACGAACAGGAACCTACGACAACAGCTTTCTGAAAGCCCTAAACTTTGAGCTGCGTTTTCATGTTTTCCTACCCCAATAGAAACTCTTAGAAACTTGAGTTTTTCGTAGCCCTTCGCTGTTATTCAATTGGAAACAGCTTGCACGAGTCAACTTGTTGATGCTTTTCGGCTGGACCTTTGTCATTTGTTTATTTTGACTGAAAAGTATATTAAACAATCTGAATCCCATGAAGTAATAGAAAATAGCTCGGAATTTAGTTTAATTCTGGGCTTTCAACCGAGTGGTTACTCCAATTCTACTCAACCAAGCTGGCTTCTAATTTATGTAAGGATCTCGAGCCAGCTGCCTACGTGGAAATCCGCAACGGTAGCTCACTTCACCTGTCGACCATGGAACAACGTGGACCAGGAAAGCCACCTGGCAGACGGGAGAATGAAATTATCAGGCAGGCTGAAAAGGAGCACGAGTTGGTGAGGCGGCAGCGATTTCTAGAGATACCAAGAATTGACAAAAACCAATCTAGTTTGAAGGACAGTCAAAAAACTAATAGTTAACTGAGCAAACGTTGAAATATTTGTTAAAAATATATTACATTCCATTTCATTGCCGCTTCGTTTTTGATTTTTTTAAATTTTCTTCAAAAATGTTTGCCACCTATTCGAGCAACGATGTGGCTGCCCATGAGGAAGTAGATGCTACTCATCAAGAAGTTTCTCTTGTTGAAGATGAAATGCAATCGATCATCTTTTTGGCGCACCAGGAGCATGAGGCACAGACCCATCAACAAGTGATGAGTGCGATGAAGCAACGCGGAGAGGAGGAGTTGGCCAAACTCAAAGATATTAACCCATTACCCAAAAGTCTTACCAGAGACCAGATCGATGCTGTCCACGACGAGGAGATCAGAGTTCTGCTGGACCAAATCGATTCGAAGGAGGAGAGTAGCGATGAAGATGACGACGATACTTTTTAATACCACAATTTTTTATTAAATACTAAAGTGGTCTGAAAATTTTTACTAGTTTATGGGTTTTACTTATCAGTAAGTTTAAAAAAAAAAAAAATTAAGTATAGATACGTAAGTTTTATTGGTACATTTAGCATATTTTTCAAGAATTACAAGGGATTTAAGTTAAACGTAGCATTTTCAAGGACAAAATCAAGGAAAGGAAATCAAAGGAATATGTGTGCAGTTTATCCGTGCATTTATTTTATCTTAAGGTTTGGTGTTGACGTTTCAAATTCATTTACAAATTAAATTACAATCAAAATAAAATCTTGACAACTAATTATGACATAATCCTGGAATTAAAGTGCTTGTTTAATGCCTGACCAATATTTGATGTTTAGACACAAAATTCAGAAACACAGGGGCTTATACGGATTTATGTATGAACAATGTGGGTGGTATAAATAATAAAGCGACTAGTGGCAATTACGATGATAATGATAAGGCGAAATAGGCAAACAGGCAAGGTCTCGTGTGCATCTTGTAAGCCGCATGGCCAATTGTCATAATTTATGCAACAAGGAGCCCGAAAAAGCCAAGCAGTCAACGTTTTGTCCCCCACTGAAACTTTAATTAAGTTCAACTTATCTATGCTTTACACATGAGACTTGAGCGTGTGCGGTGTGGCATGATATCCCTTCTCTTTCGCTCGCCATCGCGCCGTCTCTCTCTCTTCACGCGTAAGCCAGAAAGCGCTCTCAAATATGCAAATGAATGTGGCACTGGCACGTCAAATGTGGCTTTACACCCGCACACTCGCCCACACAAATACTGTGGCACCTTGGGGAACATGCATTTTGGTCATGTTTACAATGTCAGCTAGGATAACACACTGCGGATTGCATTCGAGTGTGTGAGTGTGACTGTGGGCTGCCGAGCTTTTACACTGCGAAAAATATGCATAAAGTTGGGATTAGAAAGTTGTAATAAAAAAATGTGTTCTATAAAAAACAAATTGCATTTGAGATATATATAAGACACCTTACTGAAGTATACATTTAATGAATTTATTTAAAAGTTTAAAATTAACTATTAAAATCAGGTATTGTTTATCCTGTTTATCCTAATGATTCCTGAGCAATATTAAAAAATTATATGAGCTGAAATAAACATTTTATAAATATTTTTCATTTGAAAACAAAAAGAAAATACATTTGTCAAACAATTTTGAATTGATATGCAAATAACTAATAATTCAAAATAAAAAAAAAACAGAAAAAATGTGAAATATATTTTTGTAAAATAAATAAAAATGTTAGTTCGATTTTATACGAATAGTGCTATATATTTTTTCGCAGTACCTAAGCAATGTCAGCGAATAAGGCCAAGAGAGGGGTCGCTGAGAGAGCGCTGGCTGCCATCAGCTGTTTGCAACGCCCACGCACAGCTGAGCGGTAAAGCGGGAGAGCAAGCTTTTTGGCCAGAGCGCAGCGCTCAGCTGGGAGCGGGAGGACCTTTCGGCTCGAAGGACTCGTTGCTCGGCAAATGGCAAAATCGCGCCTCGGCTCCGCATCCTTACCTGGCTGAGCTTCGTCCTGGCTTTGTTTATATGCCTTCAGCCGCTCCAGCTTTTGCCTGCTCCTCGGCACCTCCGATCCCGCCCTGCACTGCAGGACGAGGACGAGCGAGCGACCCACTTCGGGGCGGTGGCGACCGGGCCAGCCAAGCCAGGCGCTTTCAATTTCGTTCAACCTGAATCCTGAACTGAGGACACTGAGTCCTGGAAACGAGTCCGATTCGAAAACGAGCCATCCATCGGCTGCGGACTCGGCGCTCGCTTTCAATTTCGCCTCGTTATTCGTTGGTGGCCGTTGGGCGGCCTCAGTCGTGTTTTTGTTGTGCCCGTTCGCGCGTGTCCTGCTGGCTGCCTGCCGTCTCCTGTCTGCTGGCTCTCCGTCGACAGCCCAGCACACTACAGCAGAGCTCGGGAGCTGCAGTTCGCCTTGCCACGCCACGCGTCCGCGCCTATAAAATATGAATTTCTACCATTTTTCTACTCGTCGGTAGCAATAAAATAAAATAATTACAATAATAATAGAGAAAAAAATAAACGCGAATCGCAAAGGAAACGGAAAAGGGAAAACTTGGGAAAACTTAGGACTAACGCCCACGCCCGAGAAAATGTTTGTGTGCGAAGAATGCGGTTAATAATTGATTCGGTTCCCAACTGGCTGCGGCGAAGGGAGTTTTCGTTTTCGTTTTCGTGCAGAATAAATAATGCAAAAATTGCAGTGCAAATGTAATATGGAATTACAATCACAGCCGTATCAAGGTGACCACAACAATCCGAGTCCAAACACGAGTCCGATCGGCAGGCATGTAATTGTCACTCCGACGCCGCTGGGCGGTCCTGGATTTTGCCATTGTCCACCAGTCGTGTCCTCCTGCAGGTAAGGAAATCCACCAAGGAGCTGTCCGCATCTAAGGAGTCCAAGGAGCTCGGCGGCGTCGCCTAAGTGACAACTGCAAATATGCAAAACTAACGCAAACAACAACACTCAATATCAATACCGAATCAATCAATAATGAAAAGGAAAGCGATTGAAAGCAGAACCTTTTAAATTCCACCGTCAATTACTCTGATTGGCATGTGTGCATTGCAAAGCAAAATACAAGGGCCGACGAATTAAATATTTAAATGCATAATATAAATATGGCGACCCACTTATAAATTCAAATTCAATTATAAATGAAATGACAATGACATTTCGAACAGACTCAATTATAATACAATTTTATAATCGGGATCAAAAATGAACGAGTTGTGCATAATAATTGCAATAACGATATTAATTCAACAATTTTGTTAGACTTGAAATTTTCCCAAAAAAATCTAACAAATAAAATTGTAAAGCAAATTATTTATCAAATACAATCAAATAATAATAAATTAAATATAAATCATTATAAATGCATAATGAAAATATTATGAAATGCATACCAAACATGTTTTCTAGACCGCCATAGAGAAACTGTCAAATTAATCAAACAAAATAATTTATCGTGATTATTGCCAATGGCTTTTTAAAATAAAGATTAATTTCAAATTTCATATCATTTTAATTTATAAATCTTAAATATTTAATCAATGCTTAAAATACAAAATAAAATATTTAACAAACTAAAAAAATCATAACCAATTATTAATTTAGCTAATAATAATAGTTTTCTAAAATACCAAACCATTGAATTATGTATTCAACTGACAAACTTAAGGGTACAAAAGAGCAATCTGCGAATGCCAATCTAAAAAGGGCCTTATATAACCGAAATAATTCATAACGCATAAATAATGATAAATTGAATTGCGGATAAGTAATAATAAACGGAAACCTGAGACCTGCGAAAAGAAGTCAGGCAAACAAACGGGCGAAAAAAAGGGAAGAATGTCCATGAGTATATACAGCTGCCAACAATAAGTAACCAAACACAATTCACCGAGACAGCATGAAAAATGATAATGACAGCCGCCGCAAACCAAACGTGAAAAGTGATTATGTATACGTTTCTATCAGATACATATATCTGCATATATCGTAATAATATTAGGTTGATTGATGCAATCGAGCGGCTTATTTGGGGCTAAAATATTAATTGAAGTGTGCTGTGTGTGTGTTGTGATTTTCGTGTGCCCGTAAATTACAGGTCCTTAGGAACTTTGCTGCTCTTGTTTACCTGTAATGTGCTGCTAATTTGTTGCCACAGGAGCGTTACTCATTTCCGAGCAATTACATTAACGCCACAATCGTTTTAATTAGGCCAGGCACACGGCCACTTTCGCACATGCAGACAGTGGGCAACGAAAGTATCTGCACGGCTCTGCTGTGTTCGCATCTTGAAAAATATGAAAATGAAAAAATGCAAATGGAAAGTTTTCCCTTTCCCATTTTCGCTTTTGGCACTGGCGTCGTCATCGTCGTCGTTGTCTGCCAGTCGAGACAACTTTGTTCAGGTGTTGTTGGTTGTTTGCGGCACACGTTTTTCGTGTTTCCACTGGAGTGTTGAGGGTTGCTCGGGGCGATCCCACCTTTGACCTTTCGTAGTTTGTTTTTGGCAAGCAACGCAGCCACAAAGGATATGATATAATTTTCAAAATATATCATATTATATTAAGTCATTTACGTTGCACTTAAATCTGTATAAAACGAAGGGAAGAAATTTACATTTATTTTTGAATTTCTTTAAAATATATATTAATTTTTTTTATGACATTCTGATCTTGCCATTAAATAGTATAGAGAAAATCTTTGGGCTCCTAATTTTACAAGTAGCTTGAATATAAAAATAGATTATCAATATATAACGAATATTTGTATGAATGAAGAAAAAAGACTATAAAATTATCTATATTATTTATTGCCTATTTCAAAAATCAGTACATTGCAAAAGTGCTTATGCAAAAATGATAAAATTTATGCGAAATATGTAAATACATTTATGAATTAATGGTCATTTTAAATGATTGCAGTAGATTCTAATTTTTCTACGCTTGTATTCATTTATAATCGAGCAAATCCAATTTGCGTTATAAAAAGCCTTCTATTAACTATCAATTCTAGTTTTCTCTGCGGAAACGGTAATTTTATAATTTAAAGGTGCTCAACTAATTTTTCCTCCTTATTTCATTTAGTCCCCCGACCAATTGCCATATCCATGCTGGGCCAAGGACCTTCTTCTTCTTCGCTCTCCCAGTTGACCTTCAGGGAGCGTTTTGGCCCGCTTTCGCCCACATTAGCCTGGTTAGTTACCTTAGCTTTCGTGCCTGGCAACAATTTTTCAAAATTCAGTTTTAGCTTAGCTAAGGAAGCGAAAGTAGTGCAAAGTGGCCAACAACCAACAACCGACAAGAGGCAAACGCATACGAATTAAATGCTGGCAGGAATGAGGCCCAAATGGGTGGATCTGCTTGGCACTCATCGCACAGGCTGCCATCGGCGAACGTGGCCATAATTCAAACGACGCGC